CCATCTATATATTATCCCATGATTGCCCAAAGTTATGATTAAAATATAGCTCAGTTTTAATCATGATTAAGTTTCCGGACGCAGTTTGGAAATTTTGTGTCGGCCATTACTTAATTAAGATGTAGAAAAGAAGAGGGGAAATGGGTGTCATTTAGTAAAATTAGGTAGTGTTTCTATTTTCTACGTTTTGACCGATTTGTTAATGTAAGTTCTGTCCTCCCATCAACCCAACCGATATGTGTACAAGTTGGTGATTAAATTGACTCTAATGTCTTGTATCCAACTTTACCACGAGAGGCTTCTGATCGAATTAACAGTGTGATAAGTATTCACACACCCCATCAAAGGTTCAGTCGACTTGGAGGCTTGAAATTAAAGTTGACTCACTACAACAGGCAAAAGAGAGACAGACATGGGAAGACCAAACATGATGAAGTCAATAATTTAATAGTTTAGGGCTATATCATATACAAAGGACACCCATTAAAAGCTAAGGATTCATCGATATGATTGAGGTACATATATGTGACATGGTGAAGTACTGGCGCATGCAAGGCTACAACTTCATGAGTTGTGAATAAATGGCTCTCAGATTCTCAACATTCACAGACAAAGTGAACAAAGAATAGCATGTGATTAGTCTCACAAGTGAACAGAATCATTGTAATAATTACTCTTCCTGTCCTTAATATAGAACTCAATTGTTAAGTTGGTTTTAATTCTAAATATAAGACCCATTTATCATATTTATCAATCTTCTCTAAATTACTCCTATAGATACTCCCTCAACCATAATCAAGTAGAAGAGGGAAAGAAAGTATAAGAAAGATGATTATGGTATTTTAGAAAAAATGTGTCACATTTCGTATAATTAACTAACTTACCTAATTTTTTTTAATCTAATCAAATTAATTAAATGGGTCTTATATTAAAGACCGGAGGAGTAATATGCTTAGAGTATTCCAATTGCAGCACCAAAGGATGTTGCATTTTACCATACTGAAATGAAAAGTTACAACTTAAGTCATCACAAATTTCTAGAAATATCCTTAACTTTAAATCACTTATGTCTATCATTCTAGATCAATATTTGCTTTTCACTGCTCAGTCCATCATGCTTATCCATAAGGTGGAAAATAATCTATGGTAGTCAATTCACAAAATCTATATATAGCATAAGTGGGACAAATATGATCGCAATCAAATATATATTACTTTAAAGATTCATACAAGTGAGTCAAGACACAAGGTAAAAGTTTAATTTTCCGGGGCGTCAGGCTACGTATCCTTATCTCGAATTAGAATATTTATAAACTCACCAAAATGAAAAATATAATCAATACCATTCTACAATCCTCAACCATATGAATCATAAGAAAGTAAAACGTATTAGAAGAATTCCGCTTCAATACTTCCTAAGGATCTTGCTTGTCTTGAGGATGTTTCAAGATGCTTTAAATGATTTTAGATTAGAGTTTCAACCGCTTGGATGAATGATTGTGTGTTTTCTAGTACCCACGCCCTGCCTCTATAAAAATTGGAGAAGCCTTAAAATCCAATAAAAATATATAGGCTGCGAACAGATGTGACACTTGTTGTACATCAGAATATATATTATTAAAAAATAAAAATAAACTATATAATAACTATTTTTGTGATAAAATAATTTTTAAATAATTTTTTACTATTTATTTTATAATTTATAATGTTTTATTTAAAAAAATATTTTTAATATAATATTAATTTCTAATAACACTAATTTTGAATTTTAAATTGTAAATAATTTTTTCATAAATACATTTTTCAAATTTAATTTTTTTAATTAACATTGATAAGATATATAATTTAATTATATATGTATTATATTACATTATCTATGTGTCTTTTATATATTTGATGAAAACCATTTATAATAAGTAAAAAAATCTTGTTATTCAAAAAATAGCTACCATAATAGCTTGTGATAAATAACATTCTCCTACTTATATATGTATCCTATATAATTTATTCTCTTAAAATTATTTCTATATATTATTTGTTTTTGCGTTGAAGATTCAAAACAATCTATATCATGGGTATAATTATGTTGTGATCAAATTTCATCGTTTAGTTTGATTTATAATCATAAATTAAGATGTTCATATAAATTCATTTTTCGGTTTTGAATTTCTATTGTATATTACATCTTTCAATATATTTTACATATAACAAAACTATTTCTTTCTTTTATCAATTTGTATAAGAAAGTTATTAATATTCTTATCATATTTGTTTAGTTTGTTTAATTATTATTAATAATCAAGAGGAATTGATTTTAATGAAATATAAACAAATTTTCTAAGAAATTGTCTTCCTATTTTCAGTATGTATCTAATGATTAGATAAATAATAATGATATCTTCATTAACTCCAACTTTGCAAATATATGAATTTATTTTATAATTAAAAATATATTTAAATCATTATAATCTTAATTATATTATTATATAAATTGTTGTAAAATTATAATCTACAATAATGAAATTTAAAATTATTGATGGAATTAGTGACAAAAATTTTGTTAATAAACAATTTAACGATGAAAATTAGTGACAGAATTTTTTTTATTACTAATTCCATTGCTAAAATTTTATAATTAAAATTTGCAACTGAATTAGCGACAAAAATTTTTGACAGAAAAAATTCTGATGCTAATTCCGTCACTAAATATTTACTGATAGATTTTTCAACAGATTAATGATGGAATTTAGTGATAAAATTTTACTCTATCGCTAAATTTAGTGATAGAATTTTCATTGGTAATTCGTCAGAAATTAGTAACCGAATAATTTTTCGTCAGTAATTATGTTGATAATAAGTTGTTTTTTTTTTTTTTTGTAGTGATGAAAGAGCTAGTTAAAAGATTTGTTTTAGTAGTCCTAATAATTGCAAATCACAATCGGCTTTGCCTTGCAATTATAATTTATTTCCCAACCTATCCCCTATTAATTATATGTATTAAAGAGAGTGTTATCACTGGGTATATAATGATTAAAAAAGATATTTTAGGCAAACTAATATATATTTATTATAAATAACTAATTTAGCTAATTTCTTAACATTAGTAAATTAGTTATTTAGTTTTTATATTTAGAATAGGAGGGAGTAGTTCATCTTTCAGCTAGCCCCAATATGCCATCTTAACATCCCACAACATTTATAGTCATATATATATATATATAGTATGAGCATCTATATATATATATATATATATATATCAATATGCATTCAATGGCAGAGATAAAGGAGAGAAAAAAAATGGAATAGAAAGCTTCATGACTAATTATGAGATGTGAGCATGCATGAAAGATAATCACATACATTTTTTTATGTCCATCATCTCTCCGTGAATACCACTTTGCATTCACAAAAGTAGGTAGGAGTAAATGAAGAAGAAGCAAATCAAGAGTGGGCAACAAGTTGGTAGCAAGTGGAGGGTGAGGAAGGAACAAAAACGTTGAGTGATGGATGAGCCATATAGATGGATGTGAAGATAATCAAGATATATATGTGTGTGTGTGTTTGGAAAGTTATGGGAAAGGGAATCTACATAGTACCTCCGGTCCTTAATATAAGACTCTATTTGACTTTTATTTTGGTCCTAAATATAAGACCTCAATCCACTTTGTCTATCATATTTATACTTTTTTTTAAAAGTAGCCCTTCTAACAATGATAGTTTTAGTCAATACACTTGATTAGTAAGGCTTTTAGGAAAAATTACACCCATTTAGGATAAATAACTAACTGAACTTACTTTTTTAATTTCTTCAAATTAGTCAACTGGTTTTTATAATTAGGACCGGAAGTAGTATATACATAGGTGTATATGAAGGAACAAGTGGGGCGGGGAAGGGAATGTAATTAGATCATGTGTCACAGTCCAACACCACGTCCAAGTGCAAGGAAAGATTTGGGTGAATCCCAAACAATATCGTATATGTGTCCGCCTTATTCACCTAATGCCATCCTCAACCAATACAAGCCATCCATATGGGGTCAACATTTTGAGGTTTCAGCTCATCCCCGTCATCACTTGTATCCATCATTACCTAATAATGCCTCCCTCTCTCTCTCTCTCCCTCCCTCTCTCTACTTATTGTGAGGAAATTAGAGGTAAGAAAAATTGAGTCTATTAAAATTTTTTCTTTTATTTTTTTCATTTTTTTCTCGTACCAAACAAATTCCTAATAGATTTGCTTAATGTAATTGGGGCAAAAAGTACCAAAAAAGATGATATTCTAAGCTTAAGTTTATAATAAAAATCCTGTTTAATTTGTTTGATATGCAAATTACGTGATCTAGGAAGAAGTTTCACTACCTTGAACAAGCATGGCAAGTCTCCTTTTTTCCCCCCTCAAAAAGTAGGTTTCAGCTGACATTTGAAACTTACTAAATATTTTTCTTCCCCCCCCCCCCCCATCTTCACTTGTATCATCCGAATAAAAATCACTCTTCAAAACTAGCCATTCAAACATACTTGGTCCCTTTTGACGATATGGGAGGTTACAAATTTTGACTTTCAACATTCCATATGTGCTAAATATTTAATTAATTGAAATTATTTAAATTTTGTGAAGCTGAAAACATAATTAATTTTTTTTAGGACTTCCATATAATTTTCCAAGTTTAAAATCTTTCCTGCCAACCTAGAAGATGATTCTGATTTTAATTCCTGTGATTAAGAACAAAAAAGTTACTGACTAAATTGTCATTCGGACAAAGGTACTGAAAAACAACAGAGCATGTAATGAAATGTAATAAAATTTCACCATGCATAATTTTTTTAAATAACTTAATTATGGGTAATCAATCCTCAGATCCAATGGTTATAATTTACCTCAATCTCAACCGTTGGAATCTTTATCATCTCAACCGTTCACCCCAGTCTCCTCCTCCCATGTGCTATGAATATCGCTCAATCCTCCACTTCTAAGCTCCCACTGTACCTTAATGGTGAAGCAGGCCAGGTTCTGATTTATTGCTTCAAGCAGACACAATCGCCCATTCCTCTCTCATTCAAAATTTGTTACGCCTTCTCTTCTATTCCTTCAAAAACTTGTGCTTTCTGATACATTACGCTACCCCAAAACCAAGGCGGCTCTGCTCCTCACGTTCATGGCATCTGCTTCGTCGCTGGAACTTCCATTGCCGATTTCTTCACTTCATTGCTCTCTATCTATCCATACGGACCTTACTCGTCTCCGTCGTCATTGACTGGTGAGATTACTTTCATATATTTGCGTATGTTTTGGTTATTTGATAGCTTTCTCTGACTTTCCCCTGCTTTTACCTTCTTTCTCGCGCTGGGCTCTACCTAATCCACTTAGCCTTTTCTTGAATATGTTTATCAGCACGCTTTGATACTTCAGTTGAATTATTTTCTTACTATTATTTGAACGGTCAAACTGAAACAGACATTAAGGCATTTGCATATACTTCTGTCGTATTCTATGAAACAGCTCGAGCTCTCTTTCTTTCCTCGTCTCTAATTCCCCAGAAAGAAAAATTAGAGTTGATTCAGTGTACTTAATTCCCAAGTACAATGGATGAAGTGGTTGCCATGAACTGAATCCTATTCAACAGGGCAGGTCTATATAATATTATAATACGTGATTATTAGTTGGAAGCTTTCGCTATGAAGTTTTAGTATACTGAATATTCGAGAGTGCCTCGTGCTTCCTTTAGCTTTTTGCTTTCTCCTAGTTATTAGCTTCGGTAAGTGGTTCAGTTTTTTTGGAGGCATTCTCCTCATTCCGTTCCACCATCCCCCTCGTTCTTTCTGCTTTCCAACTTCCCTCTGAAATTTTGTGGATTTCTAAGCATTTGTCTCTCTGTGCACGAATTTCCGCCTCAATTCTTGAGCCTCCTCACCTTTCTTCTCTTTCTAGCTTTACATTTCATTTGTGCCTCTGATTCAGATGCCAAAGATTTTGTATCTAGGATTCGAATTGCGTCCCAACTTTTCTTTGAATTTTATTCTTCCATATATGTGTTCACCATTCATCGTCTTTCTCTTGGCATTTTGCATGGATTGAAAGGCTGGTTTGGTGGACAGCGCATAGACCTGTAAATAATGCGGTATCTGCCTCTTGAGCCAAAATAGCAGAGTTCTCTTCCTTGATAATACTGTTACATTGTCTTGCAACACTTCTATAACGGTCTCGTTGTCAGCTCTTATGACCCCCTTTAAAGTTCTTTTCCTGGCTAATTTCAAATTCTTTTTTCCTTGATATCCCGGAATTGTTCCTTATTGTTCATTTGAACGATATCAACTGAGTTACTTAATAACAATCCGTAATCAAGTAGTGATTCGCTGCATCAGTGGTAGATCCACTGAACTATTATAGATATGCACTGAAGCTCTATAAACTCACGAAATTCTTCTGTCCTTTTTTTTTTTGCCTTTTTAATTGCAGTATTAGTCCAACCATAATGCCATTCAGAGATTTTGTTCGTGAGCTCAGGGAAATTCGAGATGGCATGGGTAGTATATCAAGACGAGGGATGGATGCCAAGCGTAATTATTGCCGTGGAAAATCTCTTATTGCACCTGAACTGTCCTCACCGGCATCATCATCTTTGTTAGTGACTGAGCAGAGTCGCTGGGCTAACTTACCACCTGAGTTGTTATTAGATATAATTCAAAGGGTGGAAGCAAGTGAAACTTCCTGGCCTGCCCGGAGGGCGGTTGTAGCCTGTGCGTCAGCTTGTAGATCATGGAGAAGAATAACAGAGGAGGTGGTAAAGACACCAGAACAGTGTGGGTGGCTTACCTTTCCCATATCGCTGAGGCAGGTAATCGAACTCATTGCAATTTATGTAGTTACTTACGTATCTTAAATTCAGAAGTACATATTACTAATTTGTGATTCACCCCTATTAAAATGTGCTGACGCTTCTCTGTCTGTTAGCCTGGTCCAAGAGAGACTCCAATGCAGTGTTTTATAAAGAGAGAACGGGCGACTTCAAAATATCATTTATATCTTGGTTTGAGCCCGGGTAATATGGATGATCTCTCATAGTTTCTTTGTCACTGTTGCTTTATATCGCTGTTGTGAAGAGTTGGAGGTTTCTTTTTTAATTTAAACATGGTATTGAACACGTTGAAAAGACCATCCTCTTGAATCATTACTTTGTTGCAATCACCTTCATGAGCGAATTCTTTTGATCATATGATTTAAAAAAGCATGTAACTTTGCTCATGTTGGCAAATCGTTACAAGCGAAGACTCTTGCTTTGATTCCGTGATTTTGGCAAACGGGGCACAAAAATTAAAAAAATTCTTGAAACAAAAATTTTTTCCTCTAAAGTTTCCTGTTGTCAAGTACTTTGTTAATTATGTTGTTTGGTCTCAAGTAACAGGGGAAGCTGTTATGAAGACCAGATTTTGTATGCAAACTTTAATGAATCTTTCATTCCCATCTCTCCCTTTAGCTCTTCTTTTGGAGAAAACCTCTCTAGTTATTTAGAAGTGAAGCATTTGTTATTTAATGCGTAGTTACCACTGGGGTGTGTTTAACCGAATTTTATTATCTCCTGCTTGGGTTTTATCGTTTTGTAGCTCTCTCTGGTGATATGAGCAAACTGCTACTGGCAGCAAAGAAGATTAGACGGGCAACAAGTACAGAATTTTTGATATCCTTGGTTGCAGATGATTTTTCTAAAGCAAACAATACCTATGTTGGAAAGCTGAGGTTAGTCACACATCTGCAACGTCTTATCTTGTTGGTTGCTACGTTCTTTTATTGAGAAATTGATCTGTAAGCAATGAACAGGTCTAATTTTCTAGGCACCAAGTTCACGATCTTGGATAGTCAGTTTCCTCCCGACTCTTCCCTTCCATTGAATAGTAAATTGCAGCCAAGAATCCATTCAAAGCAGGTTTTTCCAAGGGCTGCTACAGCAGCAAAGAGTAATGTGGCCACCATATCTTATGAGCTCAATGTTCTCCGCACAAGAGGCCCAAGGAGAATGCGGTGTACGATGCACTCAATTCCTGTATCTTCCATCCAAGAAGGGGGCACTGCTCCCACTCCTGTGAAGTTTAATAATGACCTTGATGAGCATTTATGTACCGTGCACATGTCAAAAGGGGAAAAGCCAGGACCTGAGAATGAGTCCAATAGTGACGACAAGTCCCCAGAATCGAACTGCGTTGCAGGGGAGCCACTGGTTTTGAAAAATAAAGCTCCTAGATGGCATGAACAACTGCAGTGTTGGTGCTTGAATTTCAAGGGACGTGTTACAGTGGCCTCTGTGAAGAACTTCCAGCTTGTAGCAGCCGCAGAACCTTGGCAAAATATTTCAGCGGCAGAACAGGATAGAGTGATACTACAATTTGGGAAGATTGGAAAGGACATTTTCACTATGGATTACCGTTACCCCCTCTCTGCTTTTCAGGCCTTTGCAATCTGCTTGAGCAGCTTTGATACGAAACCTGCTTGCGAGTGATCACATGCCTTGTCTCATAAAGGGCTAACTTCATGCTACTCCTGCCTCCCTATACATGTACATATTCTTGAAAACAAAAAGGAAAGAAGCAAGGGGGGGAAAAACGGAGAAAGCAGCTGGGCTACGACTCTTGAGCCAATATTGAGAGCCTTCCTTCGCAGTTGCAATTTTGTTGACCCTGCTGTTAGGCTTGGTGTTTAATTGGCAAGTTTTCAGAGTAATTAATTTCTCCTTGCATAGTGTAGCTAATCGTGTATAAAAAAAAAAATATTCTTCCTAGGTATGTAATTTGCTAAATGACGCGTTGTATACTCATTTTGTAATTGAACCAGCCTTACTTGAAATTGAGAGATTACAGTTAGCAGAATGGTTGAAACTGTGAAAGGGCGGGCCTGAAGCTGATATCTGGCAATTTTTTAGTTTGAAGTGGATCAGACGGCATCCTTTTTTTTTTTTCATTGGTTATAAATATAATTACAAACTTCCTATCTCCCATGCAGTATACTATGGGTGAGTGTGAAATAAATGATGTGCTAATTTTATCATAGGGTCTTGATATTTTTATCCTTTTGAATCTTCATCATCAGAGTTGATGGACTCTGCTGCCCTTCGGGGAAGAATCAATTGAACTCCAGGATCTTCTTCGGTGACCGACCCTTGATACATCAGTGAGTTATTGATGCTCTGTATATTACTATTGACATAAGCATTACCCACTTTGTCTGGTTCAACCGAATTGTTGCCAGACCCTTCCTCTCTATCGGACTCGGTGGTTACCTCAGGGCTCTCCTCCGAATCGGTCCAATAGTCTTGGTGTGTGTGAACTGACCCTTCTTTCTTAGTTGACTCTGAGCCCATATGCATTGTTGCTCCTCTGTTTTCGCCAGCCAGAGTAATTGCACTTACGGATTTGTCTTCCATGGCGTCTGCAGTCTGCCCCATTGCTAGTTTTTGAGCAAACCTGGAAATATCCTCTTTGATTCCTTCTTTCAGGGGAGTTTTCTCCCCAGTGGGTGAAATATCCTCTTGATGGGAAGGGCTGGACATATTCTTGGTAACCGGATATACTGACCTAACAACTTCGGTGACTTTTCCGGTGGAATTGGAGGCAGACATGACTTTGCTCTCTATACTTTCTCGTGTGTCCTGCTTTTTCCTTTTTGCTCTAATGACCATGCCAGATGTATCTGTAGGTTGGGTTCCTGAAGTAGGGGCTTTCATATGGAGCTTGGAGGACATCTTCTTAGGTTGAGGAGAGGTCTTTGGTTGGATTGGTTCTTCTGGAATAGAGATGATTTTTAATGGTGACATTTTCTGTTGTGGCATTGGCTTAGACACATGAGAGCTAGTTTTCAACGGAGACTCCTTTACTTTTGTCTTCTGTACAGACTCATGAGAGGAGAACTCTAATTGGGTCTGTTCTTTGGATTTAGGACTGGTTTTTGATGGTGACTTCTTCAGTTGTGGCACTGGCTCATGCACATGAGAAGGGGTCTCTGATTTGGCTATTTCTTGAGACTTGGGGATGGCTTTAGATGGTGATTCTTTTGATTGTGGAATCGACTCGAGCACAGGAGAGGTCTTGGAGTGTGGGATTGGCTCAGCAAAATGGGAAGATGTTTTTGGTTGGGTTAAATCTTGTGACTCAGGAATGACTCTAAAAGGGGACTCCTTTGGCTGGGGTAGTGGCTCAGACACATGAGAAGAGGTCTCTGACTGGGCTATTTCTTGAGACTTGGGGATGGTTTTAGATGGTGATTCTTTTGGTTGTGGCTTTGACTCATGCACGTGAGACTCTGTCTTGGGTTGTGGACTTGACTTAGGCACATGGAAAGATGTTTCTGGTTGAGTTAGATCTTGGGACTTAGGGGTGGTTCTCGAAGGTGAGTCCTTCATATGTGGCACTGGCTCAGACACATAAGGAGAGGTCTCTGATTGGGTTGTTACCTGATGTTTGGGGATGGTTTTGGATGGTGATTCTTTTGACTGTGGCATTGACTCAAACACATGAGATTCTGTCTTTGGCTGTGAATCTGCAGACACATGGGAAGACATTTCTGGTTGAGTCTTATCTTGAGACTTAGAAATGGTTCTGAGAGGTGATTCCTTTATATCTGGAATTGGCTCAGGCATAAGAGGAGAGATCTTTGGTTGGGTTAGTTCTTGCTGAGTCACCGCAATCTTTTCCTTTTCTTGTTGAGCTAGAGGCTGAGGCTGTGGAGTTGGGAAAGAGGACACGGAAGCCAATGATTCAGAGGAAAATGGTTTATCTGGCTGAAGTGAATGAGATGGTGTGTCTTGTGGAAGATCAGCTATTGGGATATCCTGAGTAGGAGCTCGTGCTGGGGTTTTCTCAGGTGACCCATGAATGAGGATGTTTGTGTCTTCTTCCTCATGGGATTTTGGTTCATCTTTTGGAAGAACAATGGGACGCGGTTGTGGAGTTGATGGTTTTGGTTCATCTTTTGGAAGGACAATGGGACGCGGTTGTGGAGTTGATGGTTTTGGTTCATCTTTTGGAAGGACAATGGGACGCGGTTGTGGAGTTGATGGTTTTGGTTCATCTTTTGGAAGAACAATGGGACGCTGTTGTGGAGTTGATGGTTTTGGTTCATCTTTTGGAAGAACAATGGGACGCTGTTGTGGAGTTGATGGTGCTGAAAACCAAGGAAATCGAAATCGAAATCTCTTCTTTTTCTTGTCCATTGGTGGTCAAGGACAAAGATCTCTAAGACTAAAGAGGAAGATGATATGTGTCACTAAGATTTTGGCTTAAGGCAGATTTGGAGATTGCAATATTTTGTGGATGCAGAAATACCTGAAATAACACCTTAGATGCGGAAGTATTTTGTGAACTCACGATTTCTTATTGCTTCCTCTTGAGCTTTTGGTATTTATTCCTTTCAAAGGTTGCCCTTTAATGCTTTTGTTTGGTTTTATCATATGATAAAATGTCGCAAACTATTCTAATCTTGTGAAAGAAGAGAAAGCAAATTTCCTTTACCTCTCACTGCAGGAATTCCAAAGTATATGCTTTGCCTCAGCCTTTTGTGTTCATTTTGCAACTCGTACACTTCGCTGGTGTTCCAATTCACATTGAACTTACGTTTTAATTATATATTTTGCTTGCTATGTTGTGTGAATGAACAGCCAGAGTGTCTACCTTCATGCTCACTATGAAGAAAAGAATTATGGGAGCAGATCCCTTTAAAAAGAAACATTTTAATATTAAAAAATAATGTTCAATCAGTTCATTTGAGTTTATGCAAGTATTTAATCAACTTGAATTGTTATTAATTTGAATTTATAAAAAGGGTTTTGGTGGAGGTGGATAGCAAGTGGAGCATAATGATTGAAACCATTTGGAGGGCAGTTTGGGATGAGGAATTTCAATCATCTCAGGACTCATGGACAACAGGTTCAGAAGGAAATAAAGTTTGATTTTACTATTAAAAAGCAAATTATTTATTAGCAAAATCACTTTTGAGATAAGATAATAGTGTAAAAATTTTATATTGATTTCCTCAAACAAAAGGAAAGGGTCCACCAATACCCCCTTAAACCCTCCAACCTCCATGACACGTCTCAACAAATAATTTTGATCACCAAGCTTTAAATGATGTGCTTCATGCCACAATCCCTAAATTTTTTTTAAAAATAAATTTAGTTTGGATTAAGATTTGTAAAATTGAAGTTTGCACAAACTACAAACAGTTACTAACCGAAATCTGCATATTTGATAACTTGAAAATAGTATTTAAATTATAATCATAATTATAAAAATAAAAAGGAGTTAATATATACAAATTTTTTAAGGTCAATTTAGATTTTGCGCTTGCAAATGAGCACTATCTTCATTTCACTATATAAAATGATGAAATGAGGATCTCCTTTGTCTTTGCCATCATGTCTCTTTTTCTTTCTACTACTATTCCCCCTCTCTCTCACCGGTGCAACATCGTCCTCATCTTCTTCCCTCCAAGAATTATGGATCAAAGTCCGTTTAAGAACACAAGAGAAAGTATAATGATGCTCCTCCTCCGTAGAACCTGTATGGATAAACTCCTACCTGTATACTTACCAAGTCTGCGCTTCAAAGCGCACACCACCACATGCAGAATCAATCTCTCAAGAGAACAAAAACATCATGCAGACTTAGATTATGTTCAAAAAATTAACTAGGCATGATGGCATTTTGTCAATGCTTGTGAAGATAAAGGAAATCATCAATGAATGTTGTTAGCACCAAGACTTAGAATGCACCCTTATGCATTCTGCATGGAAAGAAACTGAAACGCAGAATTTCCATCAAGTTATCATAGATCATATGTAGAATCAACAATTAGGCACATATATTTCTTTCCCTTTCTTTTTTCCTCTTATCCAATCAAAAATTCCTAATCGTTCCATATCAGTTCCCACTCAGGGAAGTGACCTTAAGCTGCAGATCAAAAAAGGGAACACCTAATTATGGCACTTCCTGATCAAATTATTCAGAGTGATATACAAGTTTCTGATAATTCGTCCTCAACATGTAACTGACTTGCAAGAGCAGAGTGGAGGCAAAAGATAATCCAATGAACTCTTTGTAGTCACTTCTCCAAAAACAAAAAGGGACATTTATTCATGGATATAAATGGGTCTAAACATCTTAACTAAACTTTTGGGCATAGGTGTAGAAAAGTACTTCTCCCGTCTCTTTTTATAAGCAGCATGAGAACTCATCACGTATATCAAAATATTAGTTAAAATTAGTTAAAAACTATAAATGTATAGAAATTAGAAGTTCTTTCTTTAAAATGCCCTCATTTATTGGGAGCAAAGAGTATAAGAAAGAGAATAAGAAAATTATTATAATAAAAAAATTACGAAAGAGAAAGAATGTGTGATGGAGAGATGATGGTTTAGAAAATAAGATAATAAATATATTGAGTATTAAAATAAGTAATTAATGAGAGCAAATAGAGAATTTGCTAAAAAAAAATTAATACAACTTGCATATGTTGCTTATATTTAGGAACAAGAGGGAGATAGTAGTTGTTACTCATAAAAAGAAACAGAGGGAGTAATAAATAGCATAATTATAGGGAAAAGCCAACACTTACCTTGTCCATTGACAGCACATTTATCAAAATAAATATAACCTGCTTGTGAATCTATATACTAATTAGTTTGAGATTTTACAAAAAATGCTACCCATTAATTATCAGCCTCATCAAAATAACGATAGACACATTTGTGAGGCTAAAAAACAGGGTTTGGGGAGTCCAAAATGCTACTGAGGTACGTGTTCAGTTCCCACTTCTCAGGTGAATTTAGTTTTCAATGACGACTTGCAAAAAACAGCAAAGTCAACACACTACAGAGTTATTGGATCTGAACGGTCCTAAAGACAACATCATAAGATGAGCTCTAACTTTATACAGAAGTTGCAAATCCTTTCGTATGCAACAGAAGAAAAATGTATGCCGATTAACGCCAACTCTGCAAGAAGCTCAAAGAGGAAAATAAAATATGTAAGCAATAGGCGGCATGAATTAACAAGTTCACGCACTTGCCTTGAACAGCTTTGAAGTAGAGATGAGTATTTGTCTATATGGTAGCAGGCAAAGTAACCTGATACATTCTCTGCAGGCAGATTTTGGCAGGTGCCCTTATTGGCAACTTCTCAGAAATAATATTTTTCATGTCCACTTTCCAAAATTGAATAAAATCATGTATTTGACTTCCTTGAAAAGTGTTTTTAAAAAATACTTTTTCCTATGTTAAATAAATTCCTCTACATATTTACTTCGTATACAGTAAAAATAGTTTTAAAATCATGATTTTGATTCCATCTAAATATCAAATTTGTCATGATCTTGAATTTGTCGTGATCTTGCATCTCAGAACCTTCTTGAATAGTAGGAAGACTATCTTCTCAGGTGAATGCAGGGTTAAGAGACTTTGCAACAAAAGTCCGAAGTTTATACATATCCTCAAAATTAGTCAGAAATCCCAGAGAAGCTGTGACAACTTCAAGCCTTACAAAGCCACCTCTTCCATCACGACGACCATTCTCCATCAATATCAATATATCCCTTAATTCTCTTCCACTCCAGCTGATGCTTTTAGACGGCTCAATGATGGCTCCACACTCAAAACACTGTTCACAAGAGATTTTTGGCTCCAATACCAAAAAAAATAAACTTGCTTTGGGCTCCATTGTCAACCACATAGTACATGGTTTGGTGCCAGCCATCAAACTATGAAGTTAAAGAGCTCCCCAAGTCTTTCACTTTTTGGGTGGAAACTTTCCTATAACACTTTAAATTCAAATTTTCATTATTCCAAACGATCCTGAACCTCTGAGAACTTGTTTGGAAGTCCGTTCAAAGAGCACTTTTAAACAAATTTACGTAAGTCGAGATAAAACTCTTCCTATATACTTACCTCATATTTCGTAAATCATATTTGAAAAGTTATTTATAAGTCAATCCAAACAAATCCTAAATCACCTAGAGGTGTTTGGCAACATATAAAAATGTTTTTAAAAAGTACTTTTCTGCAAGACGAGATAAATTTTTCTACGTAGTTACTTTCCATACCGTAAAAGTACTTTTAAAACTATACTTTTGTTTCCATCCAAACACTTCCTAAATCTAGTTTACAAGATATCATATTTATTCAGATCAACTAACTTTATGTTGTATAAAATAAATGCTATCTCCGGTTCTTGTGTAAATAACTAATTTAAGAATATTAAGAAAATTAGTTAAGTTGGTTACTTGTCATAAATGTGTCCATGTCTCCCTAAATTATCTTTTTTAATCATGTACATTTAGATTATTAGAATTATCTCTTAGTAGAAACCCCTAACAATCAATAAAGATATTTTGGAAAAAAAATAAAAGATAAAATGGATAAAAGTTATATATTTATGACTAAATTCAACCCCTTAACTAACTCTTATATCAAGAACCGAACATAGTATATGAAAAAAGTTTTGTTTTAATTTCCAAAACATAAAAATACTTGTTTTAATTTCTTAGTGCTCCCAACCCCGTAAAAAATATCATTTTTCTGGATTATTGGTGGTTATAGTGTGTTATGTTGGAGGGTTATAGTATTTGTTATGCCATCTTGACAATATTTGTTCAGTTTCTTAAGTGAGTAAAACGAGATTGCTGGAGTAATATTTTATACCACGATTCGATCAATAACATGTCAATGGCACTTATAATTTTAATATTAAAACTTTGATGTAAAACTTAGAACTCTTTATTTTGTTTGTGGTTACTTTTTGAGTTCTTGTCAGTATAAAGTAAAGCCATTCATGAAACATGCATCATAATCTGGAGAAAAAAAAGAGCTTTTTAAGAATGCAATGATTATGGGAACAAATAATTATTAGCCGTCTAGATTTCTCGCCATGTTTGAGTTGTAATATTTGTATTAGAGCAAATTATTGAGTAAACCTAGTTAGCGTGATAATTGTAGATATCCCATATAAAAAATATATATAATTTTATGTTCTTCACAATTATATAAAAGTTATACCCTTTTTCAATACGAGTAAGACCAGAGAGTGTGCACTGTAAGATATTGCCATTCTTTTTAGAAGACATTTTTTAACAAATTTTCATCATCCTATTTATAGGACATAACAACCTCGTATTTAGAGTATCTATTAATTTTTTTTATTCTTATTAAAAATGAGTATTTATTAATGAGATCGATTGTTAAAAGTTACCAGTCAAGTTCTTTCTTTTACCTTTTGTATGGAGCATTTATTAAAAAAATTTCTTTTGATGGTTGGCTAAAATTTCAAATTTTAAGGCAAAATAATTCGAATATTTGTAAAAAAAAAAAATTCTTGAATTTAATATTCACATGAGGCCACAGGAACCCAGTTTTGTGCACTACTGGTATTTAATACATAGATTCCAGTTAGATTACTATTGATGGGCCTTCAATCACTCATTTGTTCTTTGTTGATGAATTGATGTTATTTTATGTTCTTCAAGCAAACATTGCTTGGAGAAACTTTGTCTGGCATCAAGGCAAAAGATCAACAGAAATAAAACCTTCACTCACACTCTAGGAAACTGTAATGTTATACAAGCAGAGGATGGGCTATCTTCAGGGGAATTAAATTACCATGGGACTTTGGATTCAAGAAAGTCATCATTGGTGGTTAAAAAAAAAAGAAGAAAGAGAAAGTCATCATTGAATCAGATTCAAAACTCCTCACTGATGTATTACTTAACAGAGCCAGTTCAAGGAACTTCAGCCTTCTTTCAATGCGAATCCATGAGATGATGGAATATGGCAGGGAGTTAAAATTAGTCAATATTCCCAAGAGAATGAAATGCCCTTGCTGACGCCTTGGCGAAGAAAGGCCTCTCTTTTGCAGCTTTGCTTGATGTTTGTCCCGAGAAAGATGAGTGAATTATAATTGCAGTGGTGCCACTATATTTTCCCATGATCCGAACAGATAGGAGTCTAGTTGGGCACCCAAAAAGAAAAAAGGGACAGGAATCTTCATATACTTGGAGGAGCTGATTTATTATGCAGAATGAGTGAATTATAATTATCAAAAGACCAACATATAGGCGCATCACAATAACTAGTCTTGCTACAACATGCCATGATGCTTCCGCACATTTGTATGCTAAAAATGTGATGATGATAATTTACAGCAGTATGTACAAATAACGGGTATGCTTTTCTGTTTTTAGGATAGTTTACTATGTACACAGTGGATAGTTTCAGAGCAGAATCTTCAGCACAAGAGATACAGGCAAACAATCAGCTCCAATGAGTGGCATTGCCTGCGCGCTACTTGAATGAGCCTAGAAATCTTGGTTTTCAAGTATCGATCCCACTGATGCAAATCTTGGTTTCTTAAATGTACCCAGAGGTCTTGATATTAAATCATCAATGATGGACCGGGGACACAGGGTACATAGGAGGACGGAGGTTGCCTTTTAAGTATTTTCATTGGACCCAAGTAATCAGCCGACAGCACAAGATTCAAAGGGTCTTGAAGCTCAAAGATTGCAAGCAATACCTTGTTGATCAGTATACACTAATTGCAGGGTGCTTTGAGCCTTGGACCTAAAGCAACCTTTCTCACTCCTACATTATTACTTGCCAAATAAAATATCTGCTTGTTATCGCCAAATACTTCCAACATCACATCATTGTTTGTCAATATCAATTTTGACTGAACCAGCTTGCCTGAGTTAGAGATTCCAGAGATTCATACTCTTCCTCTGTAGAGCAACAACATATTTATCACAGAAAAGGATTCACCATACACATCAACAGATGACCTCGTCCATTTGCACAAGTCAACACCGGGCACACATAAGGGGATCTCACTGCACCCCAATGGCAGAAGCTAAAATCTAGTGATCCAATTATGACAGCAAGGGGATGAGGGAGTGATCTGCTGCTGAAGGAGGTACTCTATATAAATCAACAGAACTCCAACAATTGAAGTGACTGTTGAATGTATCTATCCTTCGAAGTTTACTAGCCAGAGCCATTGCTATGCTGATCACAAATGAAAATAATCAATCAAGAGCACTGGCCTCAAAAAGGACTACACCTTTTTCTTTATGTCCAATGAAGTGTAGCTCAAATGTATACTGATATATTCTTTATGAATCTCTGAAAACTGAAAAAAAGCTTCTAAAAGCCAAATGGTAAAAGCACGAAGATAACGATATCCAATTCACAAGGAGGTTGCAGAACCCAATAATGATTCAGAGTCATTTCTGAATGATGAAGCAGATAAAGCAACACTGTCAATATTTAAATGAATCCAAGAAGAGTCCCAAAGTTAGGCCAGCCTTCCAATAATTAAACATGGAGATTAGGCTCCGACCCTTGCTAGATACAGGAAGAGAAGCCGTATACATGAGAGCCCCAATCCCTTCCACGACAATCACAGCCAAGGCAGCAGATAGAATATCCCAGTCACCCGTTTGTCCAATAACAGTGGCAAAAGCAGTTGCACAATAAAATCCAATCAAGAAAAAAATAAGTTTCATTGGAAGATTTTTCTGTACCTTCTGAATTTTAGCACCTAACTTGGTTAGAAAATCTTGAATCACCCTAATTAGGCGGGTCCTTCCATTATTTTCATTAGAAGTAGATGGAGTGAAACTGCTGTCGTCTACGCTGCTTCTAACAGACCATGCCATCCTCCTATAGAAAACCACATAGAATTAGTATCCCCAGAAAAGCCCACCCAATACTTCATTAATGATTTCTTCATATAATCAATGCTTTATATTTAACGTCTAAGGTATCTCAAAGATGCTAACCTGCCACCATATGTGGTCACATGAATACCTGTATACCAGAGCAGCTAAAAAGGTGACCCATTTGTGAAAGTGAATGGTGAAGTGCTTTTGGACAAACCAATCTTTCTAAAGAAAGATAAGACTTCATTTTTCACTTGGGAATAGTTTCTTATTTACTGCGATCAAGTTCTCCAATAAAAATTATGTAAAAAGTTTCTTTGAAAGGCCTAATTTTGAGGCGCTGAATCATAACAACTTACAAATCGCAACAGAGACTAATTACAAACATATCAAAATCTGTATACTTTTCACCTTGAATGGCTATAAAATACCTTTCCATAAAGTTTACAGCAAATTAAACCACCTAACAATATTTTAAAAGCATAAATTCTTTGAAATCATTTCATTTTGCAAACCATCATGCTAAATTAACATGTAGAGATAGATGGAAATTCCATCAATATATAGGGCAAGTAAATAGTTTTTCCTTTTACTTTGACCACAACAATTAACCAACCAAAATAACAGAAAATCTGCATTGCTCTAACTTTAGACAAAACCATCTATCAATTAAAAACTCCTCGACTCCCTGCACCCATGCATTGATTGATTATAGTGATCTCATTATACATGTCTCTGTTGTCCGGCAAGATAAAACCAATGCAAACACATATTACCACCTACTTACTTGGAATTGTTGGTTAAACAAGGTTGAGCATAACTGAAGAAGCATATAGACCATTGCTTCTGGTCAAACGTGGTTTTGTAAAATGATGGAGCAAGACAAACATCAGCAACTCCTGAGCTGACATAACCAAGAGATAAACATTTGATATTTGTCAAATAGTGGGATAAAGCCATTCTGGTTTTGATCATGATGCAATATCGTAACACCTGGAGATTATACAAAAAGGTAAGGATCCAAGAACAGTCAAAAAGAAAAGACATGGAAAGAGATAGACACAGCACCGGATGGGGGATGAATGAAAACATAATAATCAAAGCTACAACTCAACTGTTGCTATATTGATTGAATGAATCTGCAACTAAGGAACCGGGTATCACCATCATTTCCTCAGCAAGTAGACCCTTGCTGATGCATGTCTCCGTATATCAAACATATTCTATCCCTTGCCATGCTAGCTTCTGTTTTGCTTACTTATTATTACTGCTACTGAACCAAAGAATTGTTGTTGATGAAGATTAATGATGTGGTGTGTTCTAAGTAGTTGACTCAACTTAGTAGAATAAGGCTTCTTCTCATGGTATTATCGTCACCAACAAATGATGGAGTAACAGGACCATCATACAACAGAGACACATACAAGAATAACCCAATAACCAGAGAAAACAATGAAGTCAAAGTAAATTACATAGTCTAAATTTTATTATTTGTTGCTACCATCTTTTTTGTGCCCCTCATTCATCTCAATGAATGTGATTAATTGTCCTTGACTCAACTATAATCTAGGCCATTCTTTCTCTAGTGAATATCTCAATGTTTTTAAAACCTTGCAAAATAAGTACTCTAAATGTAAGGAATTTTTGTTTTTCCTTTTCAGTTTTGACCTCCATTTGATGACACATTATTTTAAATCTTAATTACCTTTATTTAATGCCCTCAATCTTCTACCAGGGTATTGTTAAAAGCAAGTAATAATTATACCTGAAGTTTAGAACAGGACTTGTGTTTAGGGACAAGTAAATAGGGATAAAGAAAGTAATTCATAGATGACTCGAGAATTTTCTAAATTGATGATAATATAAAAAGATTAATAAACAGAATGCCAATACATAATAAATCCAACATTACAAAACAACACAATCCAACGCATACAAATCGCTAGGAATCAAAATGAGGAGGGCAACAGTTCAAGTAAAAACTAGTAACAAGATTCAACTCAATCCGTAAATATCCCCAAATTCAAAAGCGTCAGCACTCAAACGATTAGACGACCAAATTCAAAGCCAAATTAAAATGAAAACAATTAAAACAACAACCGCGCAGGGAACAGATGACGCGGCGAACAAAAACAAAGCCAGATTGAAAAAAATCAATCTCACCGGATTTTGTGAGTAGAAAAAGCCTCAGGGTAAAACTTCTTCACTACTTGCCCGAGCACAACCATGCAGGGCTGACAACAGTGGACGGCGTCGGACTGAAGGTAGAATGCTTGTTCGTTGACGAAGAAAAATGGATCCGCTACTCAGACAACGTTTCGTTGGAGTTATAATTAATTTCAAGTAGAATGTATAGGATTCACCGGCAACCATATTTGAACAATAACAAATAATAGTCATGCAACCTTAGAACTTGGAGGAAATACATGATAAGGTATGCAGAGGTGGGGGGTCACCGGTTTTCCCCCTTCTACTCAGGTTTTCTTCTCTGCGTAACGGCACAACCGGAGCCGAAAACGAAGCTTATTAACGATTTTTTTTTTGGGGCCATCCAAACTTTCTTTTTGGGACCTGTTGTTAGAATTGGTGTTATTTTTTCTTAGAATATCTTTATTAATAATATTCTCCTGATCTTTATAGGACTTAATTTTTGAGTTGATTTTTAATTCTAAATATAAGACCCATTTTTTATATTTATCAATTTTCTTAAATTACTCCTATGAATATTCCTTCAACTATAATCAAGTAAAAGAGGGAGAGGGGGTATTAAGAAAGATGATTATGGTATTTTAGAAAAAATGTGTCACTTTTCTTATAATTAATTAACTTATCTAACTTCCTTAATCTAATTAGTTAAATGGATCTTATATTAAGGACAGGAGGAGTATATTTTTTTCAGTTTAAAATATAAGTTAAATTTTATCTATTTATATTTATTAAAAAAACTAGTTAAAATCAGTTTAAAATAATAAATATGTAAGGCATATATTTTTTTCTAAATATACCCTTATTAATAAAGAGGATAAGTAAAAGATATAATAAATAAATTAAAAAGAAAAGAGAATATATGAGAATAAAATTGTAAAAAAAACTCATTAAATATTTAAATAAAAATAAATATTATCTTATAAAAAAAGCTATCCAACAAAGTTTAGCTTATATTTTAAACAGAAAAGAGTATTAGCTAAAATTCTTATTTATTAAAACTTTTAATATATACAAATGTAACTATTACAAATACTACTTTAAAAAATAAATAAATAAATACGAGAAATAAAATGAATTGAAAACTTATATTTTTTATATTTACTCTTTTTTTTTTGTATATCAAAAGACCTCCAAATTTCATCCAACTCTCGGAAATTTTTCAAGGCTTTTCCGTACAAGTCTTATAGGGGTTTGTTGGAGGGGAAAAAAGATCTCATAGAGGTTAATATAATAAAAAATTGTGTGAATGGGCTCAATTTCAAAATGGTGCATGTCTGGATCAGTTTTCTTAAGATAACTTTAGAACAAGTAAAATAAACCCAAAAAAAAAAAAAGACATTTTGTCTTAACTTATATATCTTTTTGTCTTTCAATATTAATGCGTAAAATAATAGGTATGTGATGGGTGTGTGTAGCCCTCATAGAGAATCTCACAAAAAAATTTGAAATTATTATATCCTAAATAAGAAATTTCTACAAAAAAATATATTGTTATTCATAGGTCTGGTATTATTAAAATCTATTAAAATATTACTACCAAACTTGATTTAGAATTTAGTAATTTTAAAAAAAATTTTTAAGGATTCTCCTTCCTTAAATAGGAGAAGTTATGGGATCAAATTCTAAATAGATATGTGATCGGTGTGTGTCGGACGTGTGTCTTTTATTTCATGGAAAAGTACTGGAAATAAAGCTACGGCAAAATGACACTTAAATTTGAAAATCTCTATTTGGTCACATAAATAATAAAAATCTCCCTTTAAACACACATGATCAAATTGGGATTTTGAAATTTGCTAAAAAGACCAAATTGCCTTTTAAATTTTTTTTTCAAAAAAACCATCAAGCACGCTTACTGGCACCAGAGCTTCAAAGCAGGCGGCAACTGTCGGGGTTCAGGCGAGCTGCTTGATGCCTGAGCTTCGACAGCTGGACGACAACAGGTCATTAGAGCTTTGGTGACCGGCAATTATTTTTGTGAGATTTTTTTCACATACAGTGATACAATTAACAAGTTTGTTATAACATTTAACAACAGGTTTTTTAGAAAAATAAAAAACTAGCACTTTTATAATGTTAATAATGCAGTTAACAAGTTTTTTAACGCTATTAATTAGTTTAATATAACAATTAACAATAAATTTTTCAGAAAGTTTAAAAAGTGGTATTTTTATGACTTGAGTAATATGGTTAATAAGTCATGTAATGATATTAACAACTCTCACAACGCCATTAACAACTCTATTAACAAATCATGTAATGATAATAACAACTCTCGTAACCATATTGATTGCCTAATAAATAAATAAAAAATATTTTGTGCAATCTTTATAGGGAGCCAATGTCAAAAAACATCAAACTTCGTAGGAAATTTTGTTAATGACATTATAAGAATTGTTAATATTGTTATATGACTTGTTAACCACATTAGTGAAGTTGTAAAAATACTATTTTTTAAATTTTCTAAAAAAACATGTTGTTAACTATTATATCAAACTTATTAATAGTGTTAAAAAACATGTTAACCATGTTATTAAAGTTGTAAAAATGTCAATTTTTGAATTTTCTAGAAAACATGTTGTTAAATGCTATAACAAATTTGTTAATCATAAAGAACTTGTTAATTACATTACTGGACTTGAAAAAATTTCAAAAAAAGGTTTCTAGTCACTAGAGGTTTGGTGACCGGTCGTAAGGGTGCTTGATGTTATTTTTAAAAAAAAAATAAAGGGCAATTTGGTCTTTTTTAGTAAATTTCAAAACCTCAAATCAAATGAAGATTTTCATTATTTAAGTGGCTAGATGGGGATTTCCAAATTTAAGTATTATTTTTGTGTCATTTTCATGTTATTTTCCCTAAAGCTATCGATTCATTTGAGATGGCAAAATGTTGAGAATTTGTCCACAACAAAATAGTGAAAAGTTGTTAATATGGCTCTTTAAATTGAGAAAAAGTCTCTTATTAAAAATTATATTGTGGAGAATGACCTATATTAGAGTATTAGCGCTTCGTCTATACAAAATTTATAGAGTGCCAGTGCTTTTTATGTATAAAAATTTATCAAATCTTTCTTACTAATAAGACTTTTCTTAAAAAAAATATCGTTGTAAAAAATTAGAAAAAAAATTATCTCTGGATATAAGAAAACATTTCTTAATTGGCAAGGTGGGGATGGAGCGATCCCTAGAGTCAGGAAAACGGGCCGAGCCCGTCAGGCCGGCCCATTTAGGCCCTGAAATTATGAGGGTCGGGCTTGATATTTTTCTCTTTAAATGGGAAATAAGTTCTGGAGGGCCGAGGGCTTAAAAGGGCCGGCTCTTTTGAGCCTTTTTATAATTTTTTTATATAATTCTAATGTTATTAATTTTTTACATTGTTAATAATATTTCAAATATTTAATTATTATTATCATTTTAAAATTAAATTTAGTGTTAGACAATAATTTATCCAATTAAATTTTTAAAAAATGGGTTAATTTGGACTTTAATAATAATTTGATTTATATTATATGCATTGATATTTTTAAACCATATATATATTTGATAATAGAGTATTTTTATACTTATATAACTTATGTTTCTATAATTTGAATTAGAAATTCATGAGTTTCAACAACAATGTTTATCACATTAAAGTAAAATAATAGCTAGATTGTACAATTTAAAAGTAAAATTCCTATAAAGAAGAAAAATTTGATATTTTTGTTACAAAAAAAAAATATATTTATGAAGAAGAGTAATTAATTATAGTGATGATGAAGTTTCAAAAGATTAATGATAGTGTTTATTTATTGCACAATTGCACTATACATAAAACTTTTGGATGTTGTTATCTTGTTAATAAATGTTTTAGATGTTGTTGGATGTTGATGGATATTTATATATGATGATATTTTATATTTGTGACTTAATTTTATTCATATTTATGTCTTTTTTTAATAATTTCATTGGTTTATTTTTATTTTTTATAAAAAATATGACAAATATAAAAAATAATTTTTTTTCTTAAACGGGCCAAAAGCCTGCGGGCCGGCCCTGAGCCCTGTAGCTTAAGGGTCGAGCCTAGCAAATTGGGGTATTTTTGAAACTTCAATCCTGAAAGGCCGGTCCTTTTAAACCCGCCAGCTCTGAAAGGCCGACCCTGATTCCCACGTCTAGTGATCCCCCATGGGTAGTGAAGAAAAGTTACCTGACGCCTGTTATTCCGGGCCTGGGGGATTCCATGGTTGCTTTGGGCACTGCGGATAACGTGGCTGGTTGAAAAGAGGCCACCATAAATGATGCACCTCATCGGTATGGGATACGGCCAGGAATGGTTCATGAGAATGAACAAGCTGGAGCTATCCAGGATCCACAGACTTTCTTGTGCTCATTTTTTGTTCTTTTAGTGTTAAATTATTGTCCGGATCTAATCTGTGGCTGAAATTAAAATTTTTAAAAAATATGATTTTTTTATTGAAATTATAATTTTTTCAGTAATTTTTTAACACCTGTCTTCCCTATTTTTCATACTTATTTTCACATTTTCATTAGTTATCTTAAATGGTTTCAATATTAAAAAGAATGACAGATAAACGTTAGAAAATGAAAGACGGGTGTTCCAAAAATATCTAAAATGATTACCAGAATAAACTGAGAACTGATTATTAAAAATTCTAAACATGAGTACTAAAATATATAAAAGATAAATATTGAAAATATGAAATAAGTACTAGGAAAACTAACTCAGAAAAAGTTTAATTTTAAAGGTCAAGGTCTTTTTAAAAGAAAAATAAAAATTTCAAGATATTTGATTGTTATTAATGTTTTTTTGGTATAGTAATGTTCTTTGGTCTTTCTATGTCATTTTCCCTTATTACTGCAAAGAAAAATATTTTTAATTTAGAAAATACTATACTTATTTATTATAAATAACTAAATTAACTAATTTTTTAATACTGTAAATTAGTTATCTAAATCTTATGAAGATTAAAAATAGTATATGTAAAATATAAAACGTATGATAACTTATAAAGGAGCTCTCTCTTCCTTCCTTCTAAAGAACTATTCCCTTCTCCGAATTTGCTGCGCAATGCAATTGAAGTTAAGATTAATGCTCCAGTTTTGTGTGGGCAACTCAATAAAAAGGGGAGTTTGGAAATGCAAAGCACTTAAAAAAAATATTTCACGTAAATTAAAATAAAATTTTTCACACATATTTATCTCCTATATTATAAAATTATTTTTAAAAAACTAATTTAAACACCTCAAAATAAA